GTCTTCATCTTCTTTCATTTATGAAATATTATTATATCGATGCATATGATTTCCTTTTTTAATATTTAATTTAGTTTCAGAATAAGCATAGAATAGTAGTTAAGAGATGACAACTCGTCGACAAGAAGAATGCTTATTACTAAGGGCATTCATTTTTTTTTTGTTTAGTGAAAAAGTATTTTTATTTCTACAAGCTCTCTAGTATTGCTACATTAATGACAATAAAATAGTTTTTATAAGTTAGAGTAATATACTGATAAATAAGAAATATTGACTGCACACTTAATAGCTTGATATTAATTAGAGACAATTCAGTCCCTTAGCAAACGATAGAACGTCATGTACTGTATTCGAAATAGAATGTTTCTGTGTATCTAAAATTGTTCGCAATACAATCATGTGATTCGATTGGAATCTCTGTAAGCAACTCTTTTTACATAGTATGAGATGAACAAAATTTTATCTCACAGTATTCTACAATACTTTTTCGAGAAAGAAACAAGTGATAATGAAAATTTTGTATCTATTAGAGTGATCATTTCACTTTAAATTGAAAAGATTGTTCAATGTGACAATGCCTATCATTTTTTTCTAACTAAGTGGAAACAAAAATTTTATTGAACATCACATCAATTTATCCTTCATTGTTTTTTTTTTGAAAATATCATCTTTTGTTATTTAGTGATCTCAGAGAATTTCTATGTTCATTGATCAAAAATATTTCAAAGTATTTTCTATGTTTTTCTTTAGAATTCAGATAATGATATCCAATTTTCGCTTCAGTTCTCTTATTCTTATCGGATGGATCTTGAGATTATCTCAAATTCAAGGTATATCTATTGGTTGGGAATCATCAGCAAATCTATCCAGCAAAGGTTTTGAATTTTCTTCGATTGATGATGAAACTCTTCTATTATTAGAGACCACTGCTAAATCACTGATATCTTGTTTTAAAATATGTCATTCAAGTACATATTGTTATATTTTCGATTTCGATGATCAGTCTCATCGTTGTCGTATCTTCGAAGGTAATATAACTAATATGGGTTCAATTATTGCTTCTTCATCTTCTGAATCTCGCGTTGGATCAATCAAACTTTTTCCAGAACAATTTGCTAGCCGAGGACAATCGTGTTCATCTTGTCAAAGAAATCGATATTTAACATGTATGAATGGTACTTTTCAATGTCAAGCACATACATATTTTGATGGATCTATTTGTCAAATTCAAAAATTACTTGGAGCTGATTGTATTATTAATGCAGAATGTCGTCTAGATCTAAATTATACATGTTTACCACGTCAACAATGTGGCCGTAAGTATTGTTAACTCAAATGATAAACTATGAACAGTTAATTAATAATATTATTCATGAGAGTAAACAAAAAATTTAATAATAAATCTGAGACTAGTTTTCATTTACAATTGAAGTTGTTCAGTGCTATTTCTATTGCCAGAAAGCTATTCTATGAATTTATCTATATTATCTTCAATAAAGTATGCTCATAGTTATTAAAATATAATCAATATGCTTTCATTTTTCTAACAAAACCAAATTAATACAATTATAACCATTTTTTTTTAATTTTACAGTAGCATCAATGCAGACTGCGACTATTGTTGGCGGCTATGGTAATGGTACAGGAGGAAGTTCTCTTAATGCTCTTCATCATCCGACAGGATTAGCAGTGGGAGTTGATAATTCACTTTACATTGCTGATTATAGTAATAATAGAGTACTTAAATTACCAGAAGGATCTTCAGTAGGTTCCATCGTTGCTGGCACTGGAATAGCAGGTAATAGTTCCAATCAATTGGATGGACCAGCAGGTCTACATGTAGATGCATCATTAAATATCTACGTCGCTGATAGTAATAACTTTCGAATAATGTTTTGGCAAAGAAATTCATCAACGGGTGTTGAAGTTGCAGGAAGTGGAGTTTCTGGAAGTACACTGAACAAGTTTTCTACTATAGCAGGTTTATTTGTTGATTTACAAGGAAATATTTATGTTTGTGATTCTTCTAATCATCGTGTAATGAAATTTGCACCAAATGCCACTAATGCTGTTATTGTAGCAGGTACTGGAGCAGCGGGAAATAGCAGTTATCAACTCAATACGCCTTATGGTATCTATTTCGACGATGTTAAATCATATCTCTACGTTGCTGATTATAATAATCATCGAATTCAACGTTATACTGTAGGTATGTCCATCAATGGTACCACTGTTGCTGGAGGAAATGGAGGTGGATCAGGAAGTCAGCAGTTATATTTACCATTTTCTGTATGCGTATCAAAAATAACTAATGCTATCTACATTGTTGATTCAGGCAACAATCGTGTACAACGCTGGAATTCTGGAGCGACAAGTGGAGTAATTATAGCAGGCAATGATGCATTGACCAGTAATTACTCAACATCGTTATCTGGAGCCATGGACATAAGATTAGGTATTAATGACAGTAATCTATTTGTAAGTGAAATGAATTATAATAGAGTATGGCGTTTCAAACTCGTTTAACAAAATTTTTAATTTTCATACGTATATATACGTGAATAAACTGATTTTTTTTCGGATCGAAAAAGTTTTATTTGTTTATATTATTGAATATATTCTGACTAAGTTTAAAGTGTACTCTTTATTCTGCTTATATTGACACCTTTAGTTTTTCTTTTCTCTCACCGAACTATTCTCTTTGTTATTTTACAGTTGTGTACGTAAAATATTATAATTTACTATATGCATAACATGATGAAAGTGAAAGTAACATATAATCAATAAACACTATAATCTCTTCTCATATGATGAAATAAACTATTAACTTTAAACATTCGATTCTTGAAATCATCGTATTCAACCTTATTACGGAAGTGATTCATTGAATGATGTAATATTGTGCTCACGGAAAACCATCAAGAGTGTGGGTGTAAGTGTCGGTGTGGATCACATCACAAAGTACACCCACACCCTTGCTATTGTATTTGCATATGCGTACACAACTACTAAGATGACTAATATATGGTCATCAGCAATCGAACTGAACCTTTGTTTTTGGTTGGAGTTCAGTTTAATTCGGATTTACTTTTAAAAAATTATTTCGAGTTCGACTCAGTTCGACTTCATATTTGAAAAGTGGTTCGAGTGTGGTTCTATTCTAGTAGTCCTGGTTCCATCGAATCAGGAGAGTACGATAGGTGAAAATCTGACTTTGAGACGATTAGCGTGCCATTTTGGAGTTGATATCGGTGTAAATTAATACTTATTGCCAATTCACTCAATAATTATTTTAGCCGAATGAAAGATAGATAATGATTGTTTCATATAAAAAAGTGAACAATATCAAGTTTAGAAACTTGTTTCTCCTATTTCAATTAGTTTAAATCGTTTACGAAAAGTACAAGTAATCTGATTACCTGAATCAAACGATATCAAATAGTAGCATTTTTTTAACGTATATATGTAATGTGTTAAATAGTGGTAGTTATTTCTTTTTGAATAAACATCTTCAACAAAAAAACTCGTTTTTTTATTGAATTTTATAGTGGGGAAAATTTTTTGCAAAAATCTTGCCGTTCGGAGAAATTTTTTATTTTACCGGCAGATTCTGCACGCCTGGTGCTTTGAAGATGAACTGAAAAGATATTATCAGTTCGATCTCGATACTGGGATCTCGCGTTTGAACGGGTGTTTTCTGAGTTTCCGTTCTCAAGATCATCGCGACAAAAAATGACAACTTTTTATGCGTACGTCAAGTAAGTAAAATAAAAAGGAAACTCGCGCACGACTACATAAATGCTGTGCTTTGCACTGCATTAGGAAAATCTCAAACGATCGCTGTACAGTGCTTCGCACCGTAATTACTCAAGTTTGTTTCTTCTGTCCTATATATATTGTGCAGTAGTGACGAGCTAATGAAACGAAATTTCGGTTACCCGGTAATTACACGCTCGAAGAAAAGGAAGCACTAGAGAGTACTGTCCGAAGACGTTATGCTAGCTGCTATGAGAAAAGCAGGGAACAACAATCAACAGAAGCAAGCACGACGACAGCAAAGAAAATAAAAACCTTCTGTTCTAATTGTGACAATTTTTTTTATCTTGAAGGTTTTAACGAGAAGCATCATGCTATGGAACAAAGGATTCAAAAAATACCGAAGGCAGAGCAGATGAAACATTTTGTGTAATCTCATGTCTAAGAAAAAGGTGAAAGAAACTGTTTTTCTATACAGTTTCTTCTTAAAATATAGTGTGACCCACCGGTGGGTCACATCTGATCGAATATGTTAATATTAATGATTAATGTTTTCCTTTAAAAATATTAATCATTAATATCAATGGTTAATGAAAAAATTAACATTTATTTTAAATCAATGTAAATGGTTCACCCCTACTTTCAAGTCATAAAAGTTAATATAATAAATGAGACGAAATATATCACCAAAATTTAATGTTTACACTTTCTCTTAAATTTTCATTAATTGTTACATGCTCTTCGATAGAAAATTAATTGCTACGAGACAATAATTAGAAGTTTTCTTAGACTATTGAACAATATCGAAACGAACTGCTTCTATTGCAGTTGCCTAATTTCTTACAAGAGTTTTTTCGAATGAGATGGGACTCTATGAACGTATGATTTCGATTAATTACATATTACAACTACTCAATAAGATATTTTTAAGCTAGATTGAGAAGTAGTTTGGTTTGCTTGACTAATGATGACACCGGCGGTCATACTCGTTATGAGGTGATCCATTTGTGTAAGAGCTTACGAAATTTCGAGATTTATCAGTGAACAAACTGAAATGAATCTTTTCGATGAGTACCTTTAAAAAAATATCAAGACATTTTCAAGACAGATGACAGTTTATTATTTTCATTAGACATTAATAGTTTCTTCTTGTTGATGTATCGATGATATATGTAAAATTGTCGGACTATTATGCAACAAGCAACACGTTGCAGTAGGTATTGATTCAATTGTCAGATCAGTACTTAGAGAGATTCGTCGACAACAAGATCCAAGTGATGAATACATGACTCAACCAACTCAGTGACAATCTCAAGAAGACTCGAAGAAGTCGGATATTTACGTTGAGCAACTAGAAAAAAGGCTTCAACAAATGCCGAAAAGTTTAGTCCTAAAAAACGAAAAATATATGTGACAATGTAAATGTATATACTGATCAATGCACATATTTCTGATTAGATGGCATTGTCTTTTAAATTTTGACTCACCAGTTGCAGGAGATTGCGAGGCGTATTCTTTGCATTTGTTAAAGATTTGAATGTAGAGCAAATCAATACTTGGCATAGTAATTGATTCGTCGATAATGCCACAAATGCTATTGAAACAAAAAGAAATCGACTCGTTATTAATTACAAGAGTAAGGCAGCTAACTTTCGCTTTCCAGAGAGAGAAAACTTTAAGATGTGCATTAAGAAATCGGAAAGTGAAAAATTTTTCGTTAAATGAAAATTTTAGAACATGAAAAGTATGAACTCAATATTTTTCAAGTCGAACTTCAGATTCAGATTGACTGTATCTAAAAATTTATAAGAAAGTGGGATCTGTTTGACATTTAATCGTTTATTGGACCATGATTCGTAAAGATTCAAATCAATTTGAAAAGTGAATTATCTTCAAGTAACATAGGCGAAGCAGAGTTTATATCCTTCGATAATTTCTCGATTAAGGAATCTGTATTGGAAGTTGGGATTAAGACATGTCGAGAATATACTTTCATCTTATCAAACTTAGTGATAAACAGTGTCAAACTGATGGATAAACATAAATAAAATTTTTCATTCGATGCTAACGCATTGTCTCCAAATATCAAATAGAGAACATGACAAATATTCAGTAAATCATTTCTGTTCTTGAATGGACTTTGAAAGAAAAATGATGCAATTTGTGACATGTCAGTTGTCATACAACTAAATAAAATAACGCTGATCGATAAAAATCAAAAGAAAAACTAACTTCGTTTCAATGAATATTCTCTTATTGACTTCTTATTTGTAGTTTGACAAAGAGTACTTCTAGGATAATTTATGAGATAATTAAGATTGATATCAGCTAGAGCATGAGAAATATTTTTCTACAGCTAAGTGGTCAGCGAAGAGAATGAGTTCTAAAGAATTATTTCAAGATGAATCTGGTTTTATTTGTCTAACTCTAGGATATTATAACTCACCTTGCGAAATTACGAAATGGTCGATTACTCATAGCTTTATATCCCCGCTTAATCACTAATTCGATGTAGATAAAAGCGACTTTCTCCAAAAGAAACATGGGCTCATAGTCGGTTTGAGATGTTGATGGAAAGATAATTTTGAGAGGCAGCCTCGAGCTAGTTCGATTCATCGATGATTGCACCACTTTTGCTTTGTCTGCATTGATCATTGATCTATCTACTGTCGACAACGTTGAGTTGTCATCGGCAAGGAATGAATCGGATGTGTTGTTCAAAGTTGCTATAACTGGTTTCGTAAGGATTCTATTTTCAATCGTTCTCGTTAATTGAGTTGAATCATTCATGCATTGATTGGGCAAATCTGAATTTGATGAAACTTGGCGTTGTTGTCCTTCGTCCAACTGTTCTTTCAAAATACAACAATTTTGAGTCGCTTGTTGTAGCTCAATTTCTTCGTCGTTTTCATCTCTTTGACTACTGAAAGATTTCTCTTCTTCTTCAACTGCACTTACAGCATTCGATCTAGACTGATTACGGCGTCGTCTATATTTCATGTGAAAAAAATTTAGTTAGTTGAGTTTTATTTCTTTCATAAAATACATGAAAAGTTTCTCGTTAGACAAGTTATATACTCACATCACGAGTTTCAATGTTTCTAAGACGAGTGGCTTCTTGATTTCTTCATCGATGGGACTTAACTCGTGGACATATTTGCCTGAAATGATCACTACTGAACTGTTTGGTAGTAATAGTTATCTCTTACCAGCTTCATTGACATGATCGAAATCGATGCATAGCGAAGGATTTGCATTGACTTCAAGCAACATTGGTTTTAGTTGATCAGTGAGAATAATATCGAAACCAATAATCTGCAAAATTCATCGAAATTTATAATTCTGTTTTTTCAGGCTCGTAGTTCTAAGGAAACTTCTGGGAAACACGTAATATGCAAGTGTCACTTCAATAGATTTCATTTATATATGTCATAGAGATATAAGAATTGTTAGCATGGCATTTTAAATTCCTTTCATCCAGAGCTGTTCAAATACTAAGGATCCATATAAATGACAAAAAGTAGATCATGATAGAGTATTAGAAGGAGCGAAGAACGATGTTGTTCTTGGCATGCATACGTATCACGATAAAACGATTTTTAAGAGCTATACACCTACACTCAAATCGATCTAACGATTGAGCATATGTTCTATAGGTTGCGTGCCATCTAATTTCTTGGAATACCATAGAATTGGACTGTTTGCTTTCACACTAATTTATAATGAATAGTAGTTTCACTAGTAATGGAGTTACTTTTGAAGCTACTTTCACATTCGAATAGGTACTACACATATGACTTTACTCATGCTGATGATTCTCTAAGTCTTCATCTGTTCACCTTTGACAAAAACTATTTTGTGTTATTTTGTTTTATGATCATATTAGAAGCTAGAGAAATCTCGTTGGAGCTTTCGATGTTCTATGAAATTTTGATTCCCTTGTCTGACTCGAAGCTGCTACATTGAATAAGTGTTTCCTATCATGTTCGTTATCAGAAGTAACAGAATGAATGAACTAAGTTTTTCATTATAGAATTATAAACTTGCTCATTATTCAGTCTTCAAGTCATTGTTATTCTTGATACCTGAAAGCATTGATTCTGTTTGCGAGTCATTGGTAACTCCAAGGTATATTGAATACGAAGTTCTGGTAAGATGGCTAAGACAGTCTTATTGATCATGTCTTCGATCATTTCTTTGGTTTGTTCAATTTCGCTTGGACTGAATAGTTGACCTAGTTGTGACCAAACAACATTCAATTTTCGCTTGCTAGCATCAGTTTGTTTCTCATCCGAGGCATGTTTGTAATTGGCACTGCGCTTGTTCAATGAATAATTGGTTAAATGCATGAATGATTCATGAAGATTTTTCTTCGACGGAGCTTGATATTCGACAGTAGCGAAGCGTGCTAGACCTTCATCATAGAGTAGAACTTCCAATGGATCCAATTTTAGAATCAGTACATAGATTCTCATGTCAAATTTAAGACCATTGATTAGTAATGGTCGATCAACGTATTCTGGCAATCAATCGTATAGAATGGTAATAAACTATTGAATTTAGAATTTTGAACGTTACCTTGAATGATGTACGGTCGATTAACCATCGTACAGCGAGTTGAATCTTGAATTAAAAAGATACCTTCACCTTCTGAGCCATCTATGTAGAATAAATAGATATTAAATGTATTTTTCTGTCAAATTGCTGAACAAACCCGATGGCTTGACGATGAAAGTTGTTAAAGGTCGTCGTCGACTTTGATCCTTTTTATGTATTGAGCGAGCATCGTTTTGAAATTGTTCAGTTTGTTCAGGCAGAAACCACGTTTTTGGATAGAAATCATATTCATCCGGAAACAGCCTTCGCATGGCATTCAACGAACGTGTCAAATTACTTTTACACATGATATCACGCATTCCTATAGTTTATCTAATTATTAGATTTGGAAACAACAAAAACCTGTTACTACAGATATGTATATATAGATTTGGATGAAACACAGTGAAGTATCTGAGACTTTAAAGGTGAATATTAGAAAATTACATTTTTTCTCTTATTTTATCACTGATGTGTTGTATAATTACCTGAAAAGTTTCATTTTTAGAATATAATAACAGATTATTGATCAACGAATGTTTTACATCAGTGCTCATAATAAAGCGTGTAAATTCCTTTCTAAAAATTTTCTCGTTTACTGTCATAATAGAAGTCTCAAAGTTAACAATCAATATACAGGCAATAGAGCCACGGGTTTTGTTTCATCAGATAACTACACCACTATTCATAATATCATACCGGGAAATTTGTTTATTCTAGCTGAAGTCGACTTAAAATTCTTATTGTCGTCATGAAATGTTCCCGCATGCCAATGGATATCTGGCTCTGTAGAAGAACCAATAATACACTAGAAGATAATATAAAATTAAATACTAGAAGAAATGTTCGAGTCAGTCTACTTCTTTCCAGCCAAGTTCTTGTAGACACATTCGAAGAACTTGGATATTCGATCTGGCTTGACTGGTATCGATTATAGGTACACGTTTGGTTGATTTTCCAATTTTTCTTTTTGTTGTTGACGACACAGTTGTTTTTGATGTCATTATTAAGAAATTTGTATTCAGTAAAAATCTAAAAAGAATTAATGTTCTTGGAATTGTTTGGATAGTTTCTTTATTAATGACTATATGACATTCTTCATATACTTCCGAGAAAACTATTTCTACACAGTCTGAGAAATATTCAAACTCTTCAAATCATCTCATTCTTGTTGAAAAGAGTGGTTCTCGTCCATGTTAGACTTGTAGTAAAGAGATTACTATGGTAATTTTTCGTCCAATACGTTTGTTTGTGAACATGGTATTTAACAAAACAAGGGTTACAAACAAGTCATCAGATAATTCAAATCTAGTTTTTTTCGTGAAATAGCATAGCAGAACCTAGAGATCATAGAGCCTTTTAAGATTCGATTCATTTCAAGTTATACCTTGCAGAATTTTTCTAGTAGGTCAGTGTCTAATATAAGACGACATTTTACTCAATCTAATAGTACACTGTTTTTAAAAAGAAAATAGTTTTTTTTCTCTTTTCACATGTACTTCAATACATGATACTCAAGAAGCCGATCGATAGAGGTTTACATCTGTTAGTTTTTTTTTCTTTCAATCTACGGCTTATTATCTAAATTTGAAAGTTAATTAAAAATACTACTTATGATAACTAAACTTAATAAAAAGTGACTTTAGAATCTTTATAAGCTAAACACTAGAGCAATATAAATGTGTTAATATGTAAAACGCAAGAAAAAACTCTTCATAGCTATCTCTCTGTGAAAATATCTTGCTGAATATTTTGAAGCAACAATCGAGGAAATGAGAACAGGCTTTCTAAAAAGAATCTATCAAATAAAACAAGAAATCTGCATCGAATTGATAATTATCATAGAAATATATAACTAAACGAGTCGTCTAGATTCATATTTCATATCGATAACGGACTCAGAAATGAAAAAAAAGACGCCTTATTTATTTAGTAGAGAAAAAAAAATTGCTTTTTATAACCTTTTCTTCTCATATTTATAACAGAAAACAACGTAATTCGCATCGGACGTCACACTAACGTCATGAAGGAGAGATGTTGATGGCGACCGACCCATGATTCATCGTTTCACGTTCTGTTATAACGTCACTAACTAGAAAGAAAAAAAGAGAATGACGTAAATCAAAAACACATTTTATCGCACTTTTTTATTTTTTGTTCGACTGCTAGACAACCCATGGTGGCCACGAGTTTGTTGGAGAGAAAGTATGCAGAAAAAAAACATGCATACAAATAGTTCAATATCTTCATTAAGATTTCGTGTGTATATCAACTATGAATATGTGTATTCTGTTTACCTATACGCATACACTTGCACTGTGTACTATCTTCAGAGAACAAACACCATTGTATAAATAATAAGTACTACAGCCCAATTGTGAATGAGAGCGTCTTGAGCTAAAAGATATTTGAGTGACGCTACGAATTCATTCTCATCACACGTTTTTGGCCGATATTGGAATGCAAAATAGACAAGAAAATTATAATTTCATTGATTAAAAGCTTAATGAAAACCGTCAATATTAATTGGTAGCTCATCAGAGTACATGAAAAATTTTCAGCTGATTTGCATCGAGTATAATCGATTCCATTCAAAATTAATTGTACTAATCAATAAAAGTATATTGCTTTGGTTGCCTTCCATGTAAAAATTTAGAGAGTAAAATCAGACTAAAATCGATTGGAATCATGCACCTTTTAATCAGTTTTTAAATGAAACATAGTCACAAAAATCAAAATATTATTGAGACGCATCCATTGAATCTTGCCGGACCGATCCGGCGGACATGTTCAAATCCACTGAAAATTATACCGCTTGTATATATTTTTACGTTGATCATTATGAAAAGACATTTGTTGGGCCTTAGAGGATGTGAGTATTTTCTCTTCATCCTCATCTACCCGTCCACACTCACACCCAACTCTCCAAACAACTCATAGTCTACTAAATATGTTGTGTATCGTTTTGAATAAACTTTATGTTATTTAAAGATTATTTATAAAGCCAGATTTCATGTAGGATAGAATAGAAGAAGTGAGAACATCGCTTCTCTCATTTCCTTACGAGTGCTGTTTCTTCCACGTGTTCTTAAATGTTCCACAATGAGGTGCTCCCCTAAAGCTATTGGTGCAATATAATAGAGTTACTTAGAATCAATCAACATTTCAGCATTTTGTTGATATCTGTACAGTTTCCTATCGTCAACAATTGACTTCTATGGACTTTCTATATTCATGTTTTTTAAAATGGCTCCATTGATATACGATAATAATGTTAAAAAGGATTTATAAATTTTATTTTATTAGAAAACTTTGGAATATTTATTAATTTACAGAAGTGAACTTTTTCCTAAACGAAAAAAACTAACTGTGGTGAAAATACGTGACCTATATACAGAAAATGGAACTCGATCGAAACTCCAGTCCAAATCATCTTCATATTCTCTACTTTTTTTCGATTTTCTTCTAAACGCACAATGCGACTATCATTCCTGTATATCAATATTTCAGATTTTTAAGATTGAATTAGTTGCAGCAATGTGATATGTTTGTCCAATATGCTAGAGATAGTAAAAAAAACACTCATGAAAATTTATTTGACTTTTGGTAATGAAAACAAGCATACAAAGTGGAACAGTTGATCTTTCAAGACTAAATCAGTAGAATGAATTCTAATATTCCTATCTGTATTCGTTAACAACATTCTTCATTGTAATCGTCAGTATAAAAACAACAAAAATTCTGTTCAAATACACAGTTCATATCTATTCAAAGATTAGTTTATGGCAACAGAAATCAAAACATACAAATCTGTATATTCATCTTGTAATAGCTATTTTATTAGAGATAATTTATGTTTATAGAGATTTGATTGTGTTCAGCAACATACAATAAAGGAATGATATTCTAAAATTTTCTGCCTTTTATTGATGTTCACTTGTTGGTCACTCCCACAAATCAGATCACATTGAAAATATCATGAACTCTTGATTACCTAACGGTGAATAATTGCTTCATTGTTTGAATTAAACGTTCACAAAAATATACCGAATGTTATGAATTGATCCCTAGTTAGAAACTTTCTTCTTCTTGTATAATCGCAACAAACTATACATAAAAAGGGTGGGTGTGGATGCGGATATAAATCTTCGCTTCAACAGAACCCACACCCTTGTAAAGTGAATAAATTCAATTGTATTGGCAGAAACAGTCAAAAAGGAAATATTTGAAAGTAATGATATCAACTGTTCTTCTCATCAAGATACACACACACAATATTTCGATGTAAGTAGATATATGAAAGGTTAATCGAGAAATGTTAGTTTTCAGGTATCAACAGACATGAGTCATTGGTCATGTTCCTTCAATAACTGTACTGTCTCATTCAATAACTACAGAATTAAATAAGTGAAAATGAAATAGATTTGTTCGAGTATTTTAAACAAACAATTTCGAGGAACTTTGTTAAGAATACTCTATGTCTAATGACAAATTAAAGTGATTTTTACATAATTATAACTGTGAATAAGAATGATATGAGAGAGGTGAAATTCGATCTTCATTATTGAGAATAACATTCGAAATTGTCAACGATTTTCTTCTTTTCTTTACCAACGTTTTCTTCTATTATCAGTGTAAAACAAGAAAAATAGGAAGCTTCTTGTCAAACCAAAGTGTAATAGATGAAGTGACTAAACGCTCAGATTATTTCATCGAAGAACGTATTGCGAAAATTCCAGAAAATTAGCAGGCAATATGTTCTTTCACAGTGAAGAACTGTTACACAAATTATTTAGAGACAAAAGGATCATATTGTACATAAAATATCTCCAAATGCCTTTACTGGATTATACATAAAAGATTGTCCTGAGAAAAATGAAAAACAAGTGAATAAATTAGCTATTCACAATGTTACCTTGAATGAAGTAAAACATCAAATTGTTTGAGAAGTTCACGTTGAAGTTGATCCAATTGTTAATAATAAAATTGCGAACTTAAATAAAATAGTACAAGCATAACTTGAATGACAATTTAGTGTTGATTCGAGCAAAGATGAGAAAACATTAAAAAAAACAAAATCTATTGTATATTGACAAATAGTTTGTTATCTTACAGTAAATTTCTGTGTTCTTTTTATTCATTTGTATGATTATCATTTTTCAATTTAAGAGTGTAGAAGCCATGATTATTAAGAATATGGAATCTCATTCATAAGAAATGTTTAACGAACAATTTATTTCAATAAACTCGATATCTTTATTCAATATTATTTTCGTATAAGATGTTCTTCTCTCATTGATTAATATTGCATAATATTCTC